GAGACAGAGAGCTTTGGTGTTCTAAGGGCAGCGTTTATATTTGAGTTAAGCTTCCTTTATTTCAAATTGTAAATGTCAGTCGTGGGTTTGGAGCCTCTTGACAAAGCCAGGGGAACAGCAACTCCTGGGTGACAGCAGTTGTTTTCCCTAAAGGATGCTAAATGCCTGCACTTTTGTTCAGCAAGAGTGATCACACACTTGTGAGGTAGGATAACTAAAGGGTGCTTTGTCCCCATGCAGAGATGGTGACACCAAGACAAAAAAAATTTAAGTGATAATACAGCTGGACAGGGGACACTAAAGCCTGGTGACAGATTAGCAGCGGCACCTTGGAAGAAAAGCTTGGAGATCTGCTTCTGAAAGTCCACAGCCTTGAAAACCTTATGGAGCACAGTTTTATTCTGTATACATAGGGTTGCCGTGAGTCAGAATTGACTCAACAGAAGTGGATTTTTTTGGTTACTATGTGCCAGGCACTGATACAAAAATCTGCCTGCCTGCGAGAAACTTAAATTGTAGTAGAAGCCAAGTGTTTGTTGATTGTTTTTTCACCCTTGTGCTCGAAGGCTTTTCATCTGCAGTCATATTTGTCTGTTTGGTACCAGGAAAATCAAATCCTAGCTCACCCCCATTTAGAATAGCAATGGTCAAAAAAATCAGAAAACAACAGGTGTTGGTGAGATTGTGGAGAAACTGGAACGCTCATCCACTGCTGTGGAAATGTAAAATGGTGCAACCACTGTGGAAAACAGTTTGGTGGTTCCTCAAAATGTTGAACATAGAACTACCATATGACCCAGCAATCCCAATCTTAGGTATACACCCAGAAGAAGTGAAGGCAGGAAAGCAAACAGAAACCTGTGGACCAGTGTTCATTACAGCACTTTTCACAATAGCCAAAAGGTGGAAACAACCGAAATGTCCGTCAACAGATGAATGGATAAGCAACAGTAGTCTCTCCATACAAGGGAATATTACTCGGCCCTAAGGAGAAATGAAGTCCTGATACAGACCACAATATGGATGAACCTTGAAGGCATCGTGCTGAGCAATATAAGTCCATTACAAAAGGACAGGTATTGTCTGATCTCACTTCTGTAAAATAAGCAAATGTATAGAAACGGAAGATTATTAGCGGTTATCAGGGGTGAGAGGGGCTGGGGAAGGGGGAGTTTTTGTTTGGGGGCCATCGAGTTTTTGTTGATGGTGGTGGAATATTTTGGAAGAGGCTAGCAATAATGGTGGTATAGCGTGGCAAATGTAATCAACATCATTGAATTGTAAATGTGGAAGTTGTTATATTGGCAAATATTTTGGTGTGTGTATTTTCACCATAATACGAGAAAAAAATGATCAAACCATGATAAAGTTGCATAGCACCTCCATGTCCCACCTGGAGTGTGCCTCGATGTCCCACCTGGAATGTGGTACGAAGAGACCATGAAACTTTTTGTGAAATCATATTATTCTACTGCATTGTTCTGATTTTTTACTATGAAAATTTTAAGTACAAGTAGATTAGGTGCAAGGATCCCGGGTGGCACAGCAGTTAAGCGCTCGACTGCTGACTGAAAGGTCGGCAGTTCGAACCCACCAGCTGCTCTGCAGGAGAAAGATGTGGCGGTCTGCTTCTGTAAAGATGACAGCCTTGGAAACCCTGTCTTGTAGGGTTGCTGTGAGTTGGAATCGACTCAGTGGCAAAGGGTTTGGGTTTTTTAGATTAGGTGACTTGTCTGACAGCATGTGAAAATGTGCTACTACTATATGTGGTAAAAGGATAAGAGCGTGAGAAGGGTAAACAGCAAAATTTAGGCTAGTGGATGCGTCTGAGGAGACAGTGGTGGATGTGATCAGTACAAAGTACAGAGAGGATTCAGCTGTATGACTGATGGTTTATCTCTTAAGCAACATTTAGGTTCCTGGGTATTCACTGGTTTATTTACACTTTCATATGTATCATAAATATTGCATAAACATTTTAAAATATAAACCCAGAAAAGGAAAGAAAAAAAAGGATAATACATATTTGGGAATGGTAACCAGGCTTTAAAATACCTAAAGTATTTATGGTCTCTGGTGGTGCAGTGGGTAAGAGCTTGGCTGCTAATCAAAAGGTCGGCAGTTCAAACCCACCAGCTGCTCTGCGGGAAAAAGATGTGGCAGTCTGCTTCCGTAAAGATTACAGCCTTGGAAACCCTATGGAGAAGTTCTACTCTGTCCTGTAGGGTGCCTGAGTCAGAATCGACTTGATGGCACCAGGTTTGGTTTTCCCTGGATGGTACAAATGGTTAATATGCTTAACTGCTAACTGAAAGGTTGAAGGTTCGAGTCCACCCAGAGTCTCCTCGGAAGAAAGGCCTGGCAATCCACTTCTGAAAAATCAGCCATTGAAAACCCTATGGAGCACAGTTCTACTCTGACACACGTGGGGTCACCATGAGTCAGGGTCAGCTCCACGGTACCTGGTTTTACTGATTTCCTGAAAATATGGACATAAGAGAGAGCTCAGAACCATCCATTTCTGTATGATGGGTCTCTCTGTTGTTAGGATATTTTAAAAATCATTTCACTTATTCCTCATTTAAAATGTATATCCAATATCCAAAATTTATGGTAGAAAACAATTCATTTTCGGGGGGAAATGGCTTCCCACACCTAGCCCTGTGTCTTATGTGAAAAGCATTATCATTGCGGTTTCGCCGGAGGAGATGGGGTGATTTTCCCCGGAAGTGGGCACAGCAGGATGCTCAAGAATGTTCGCGATGGACACAGGGTGATTGGCAGGGAATGTGTCCTTGGAGGTGGCCCACTGAGTTCCCACCTGTTTCTCCCTGATGGCCATGTGGCCTTTGTGACACAAGCTTTGACAGAACCACCATCGGGATGGTTGATTCTAGAGAGAAAATTGACCCAGGATCCAAAGAGCTAGAACTTAAAGTCAGCATTGTCTTTGCTAACGTTCTTTCTCTCTGTCTCTGTCTGTCTGCTTTTTATAATGCCTTTTCTGCAGCGAAGGGAGCAATCTCACCCCGGCCCATCATTATCCAGACTTCAGATTCAAGACATACGCTCCGCTAGCCTTCCGATACTTCAGAGAACTTTTTGGTATCAAGCCTGATGATTACTTGGTAAGGACCTTCAGTTTTCCTTCCTCCTACAGAAATACGCTATGTAGACACTTGCCTCCTAGCAAGAGTGATAAGTAACTCATGTCTCTCACTTCAAAAAGCTCCGGGGGTGCAGTAAAAGCCCCAGGTTATATCGATTATAAATTTAGTTTCAGGAAATGCAGTTTGACTCTGCAGCTTTACCTGATAGCTACAAAATCTGCCGGGGTGATTGATATTTCAGTAACTGTGGTGTCGCTTGCTCCTTCGGATAATTACAGGCAGTCCCGGATTACAAATGAGATGCATTCCTGAGCGTGTCTTTAAGAATTTGTAGGTAAGTCGGAACAGATGAAAAAGGTTCTTATTCAGCCTTACTTTAGTGCAAGAAGCAGGAGAAAGATGTGGCAGTCTGCTTCTGTAAAGATTACAGCCTTGGAAACCCTATGGAGCAGTTCTACTCTGTCCTGTAGGGTAGCTACGAGTCAGAATTGACTTGATGGTAATGGTAAGGGGTAATAGGTTAGTGCAAGAAAAGGCTGCACACGTGGCAAGTGAAGGTGATCGTGATGAAGAATTTGTTGTGAGTAGGAGTTGGTTCAGTTGTTTCAAAGTGACAGAAATTTACATAACGTTAAAGGGCAAGTACAGGTCGTCCATAAATCAGACGTTTGTAACCCCAGGGACTGCCTTATTCTAACTGATACGTTGTAATTAGTTCTAAATACACCTGTGGATTTGGCTGATTGGATCCTTTTTGAAAGCCTTGCTATTTTAATTGCCTTATTTATACCATTCATCTCAAACCCACGGTGGCCCACAACCATGTTCCCCTTGACCTACGAGTTTGAATCACATTTTAAAGAGGCTGAAGAGTTTCCTTCCCCACAAATCTCTTCATGCAAACTCCTATTAGCACATTTTTGTTTGGAATGAGGGCATATTTTATCTGCAGACTTGCCTTTTCTCTCTTATCTCCGTCCTGGCACCCAGGAGGTATAAACACAACAGCCTTTTTGTGAGGCAGGCTGATACCGCCTCCGAGTTGTACCTTATTCCCGCTCAAGGGGCCAGGAAGTTCCTTTTCTGTCTTGAGAGGAGAGTGGTTTATTTCATAATCTGATCACTGTTAACACCCTGGGGCTCTTCAAGATTGTTTTTCAAGAAGCAGACGGGAAGGACGCCATCGAATACTTACGGTTCAGCCCCTTCTGAATGGTCTTAATAAGCCTTGAGCCAGATCCTGTAATAATGCTTTTCAGAGGAAGTAAAGCACATTTGTCACTTATCACAAAGAAGAGTATTTGGAATGCATCTTAGAATTTGGGTGAAATGTAAGTGATTGAATTCACAGCTGGTTCTGTTCTGAGCTGATGAGAAGCCATGAGGGATCCTCTTCTTTAGGAGGAAAATCCTGTAGCCTGTCTGATGGGACAAGACCAGTTCCTCCAAAACCAGTCGCGTCGAGTCAGCTCCGACTCAGGTTGACCCCATGGGTGTCAGAGTAGGAACTGCTCTATAGGGTCTTCAGTGGCTGATTGTTTTTCGAAGTAGATCACCAGGTCTTTCTTCTAAGGTGCCTCTGGGTGGGCTTGAACTTCCAACCTTTTTGTGAGCAGCCCAGTGTGTCAACCATTTGCACCACCGAGGGACAACTCCGGGCACGTTAATAAGTCTCCATAGAGCAGGGAGAGCTGAGCAGAAGGGCCCTGGACATCCTGCTGTCCTTAGCTGTGGGTGTCCCTGTAGCTGTGTCACCACTCCCCTTGAACTGAAATGTCAGATGGCTCCACCATCATCACCAGCCCTGACAATTCCCCCCAGCCACTCAGACACACATATTCATTCTGTGTGTGTATGTATGTGTGTGTGTGTATATGTGTATGTGTATATATGTATGTATGTGTGTATATGTATGCATGTGTGTATGTGTGTGTATATGTGTGTATGTGTGTATATATGTGTGTGTGTTATGTGTGCATATGTTTGTGTGTATGTGTGTGTATGCATGTGTGTATGTGTGCGTGTGTGTGTGTGTGTGTGTGTTAGGGAAGAGCCTTCTGCTGTCTGGCCATTTTGTAATTAAGGGTGACCATCATGCAGGAAACATGTTTGGGGAGCCCAGTGGGGTTGTGACATTGCGTTACTGAAATTGATCCCTCATCTTTGACCACACGTTGAACATTAATGGACTCTCCTTCTGAACTTCCTGAAGCTGCCACCAGCCCCAGAGATGCCACAGACTTGCCTTCCATGACGCTGGTTAGTTTGACAAGACAGCTACCCCCCCAGCCTTCCCCCCATTGAGGATGAGCGTGCGTCTCTGCTTAGCTGTGTGCCGTTACATCTGCCTTCCAGCCTGAGTCATTCTGTCTCCATCCTCAGCCACGGGCATTCCCCGTGTGCGTGCTGGCCACACGTTTCATGTTGGAGCGTTCCCGATTTGGATCGTGGGTCGGCCCGGGGACGGAGCTTCTGCGCGCTTCACGGTGCCAGCACCGCTCCGTTCCTGTCTGTTCCTAAATAAACACCGCCCAAGGGGAGGCGGGGCCTCGGAGCGGTCCTCACCGTCTCTGCTCCACCTGTGCCCCCCCGGGATTCCAGAATCCAGGGAAATTTCTGTGCTGTCTTTTCAGGCTCACCTGAGCCAATGAGAAAGAACAGAATGAGGAGTCCCTGGGTGGAGCAAATGCTTAAGCTCTCGACTACTAGCCAAAAGGTTGGCGGTTCAAACCCACCCAGCGGCACCTTGGAAGACAGACCTGGAGATCTGCTTCCGGAAGGTCACAGCCTTGAGAACCCTATGGAGCACAGTTCTACTCTTGACACGTGAGGTCCCCAAGGGCCAGAATTGACTCCATGGCAGCCAACAACAGCTCGGCAACAAGAATAAGAAAAAGAGCAGAGTGAATGTGTTACGCTGTCGGGGGAAATGGCAGAAAGTATCTCAGCCGCGCTGGGCAAGTTCCCGTTAACCTGCGCTGGCGGCGCCCAGCTGGGTTGTACTTTGCTTTCTTTCCAGCCCAGCGCGTGTAGCAGGGAGGCTCTGAAGGACATAGAAACGAGAGAATGAGTACATTTTGAACAGATTGCACAGATGAACACTGCCTGAAGGTGCATAAAACCCAGGCGTGCACGTGGGCCTTGTTGATCACGGCTGATTAAAATGTTCCCATCTCCCTGTTTATTGGCTGTTCAAGGCAACATCTCCAAGAAGGTTGCTTAGAAGAGAATGTGTCACTCACTGTGCTGCGGGGCAAAGGGGCAATAGAATTACCGAGTGTGGTGACAGGACTCCTGTCCGTTATGGGCAGCCAGTTTACCGAGCACTGACGGTATGCTGCTAGTGGTCCGCAAAGAGGTTTTCAGTTGGATGGAAACAATTTATTCCACAGCCCGGCAGCACAATGGTTAGGTGTTCGGCTGCTAACCGAAAGACTGGTGATTCGATCCCACCCAGCAGCTCTACAGGAGAAAGACCTGGCGCTCTGCTTCTGGAAAGATTAAACCTGGTGCCGTCCAGTCAATTCTGACTCCGAGTGACCCCGTAGGACAGAGTAGAATTGCCCCCATATGGTTTACAACCAGGAAAACCCTATGGGGCAGTTCTGCTCTGTTACATGGGGTTGCTGTGCGTTGGAAGGGACTCGACAGCACACAACAACACCAGAATGGATGTGAACAGAAAAACAAAAAAAACGATTTATGCCTCCATCCATATTGGTTTATAAATTATGTAATAAAGGAGTATTTGACAAGTAACCAGTGAGATAAGCTCCATGTGACGTCACTGCCCCTAGAGGAATCCAAGCCTTTCATTGGGAGCAAATGTTCAGGTTTGAATCCACTTTTCTCCAGACAGCTCTCCCCATCACCCCCTAATTATTCTCCAGTCACAGCCTCTAATTTCTGCATCTTCTGTTGCGTTTATACTTTCACATTTACTACTGTCCATAAGGAGGATGGTGCTTAAGCGTTTGGCTGCTAACCAAAAGGTCGGCAGTTTGAATTCACAAGCAGCTCCTTGGAAACCCTATGGAGCAGTTCTAGTCTTTCCTGTAGGGTCGCTATGGGTTAAAATCGACTTGATGGCAAGGGGTTTGGTTTTTTTGGAACAAATCACCAGGATTTCTTGAGAGTCCAGGGTCTGCCTTCACTTTGTACATGAGCTTGCAGTTCACGACTTTATTTTCATGATCCCATGAAAGAACTTCTTGCTTCACTAAGAATGTCTCAGTGTATCTTTGGGTAACCCTTCTGGCATTGGCTCTAGGTGGAAATAGTACATCCTAGGGCACTGTCGGCTCTTCCTTATCTGCCTGTGGCATGTGTGTATTGCACGCTGTGTGCCTCTGTCTTCTGCACGTGATCGTGTAATCAAAAATAGACAGGTGGTCGTTATCTGCCAGGGGGTTCAAAAGCACTCAGAGTCCCTGGGTGGTACAAATGGTTAACACGCTCTGCTGCTAACCAAAAGACTGGAGGTTCCAGTCCAACCAGAGGTGCCTTGGAAGAAAGGCCTGGCAACCTGCTTCCAAAAATCAGCCATTATAAACCCTATGGAGCACAGTTGTACTCTGCCACACATGGGGTTGCCATGAGTTGGCATCAATTCAACGGCAACTGGTTTGGTTTTGTTGTTGTTGCTGTTTAAAAGCATTCACTTGTAAAACTTTTAGCTACTTTCAGGTTGGTATTATTATCTTTATTTAGAGGGGACGATCCAAAGAGCCAAAATGCTCAGTTACTTACTCGTGACCACAAACTAGCAATTGGCAGAGCCACAGTTTTACAGAATCAGCAATTCCAAGTCCCGGGCCCTTTCCACTGATGGTCCTTCCACGCAGACACTGCTCTGCTCCTAGGGCAGAGGACGAGTGCCCTGTGCTTCCTCCTAGCTCTTTCAGCGTTCTGTCTGCAGTCGGGTGGCAATCTGTGTTTTCCTAACTTGTCCTCAACTCATTCAAAAGAGTCTGGGCTCCAGTGCTGATCAGCAACACAGTATCAAGAAGCAAAGCTAGATGCACAGACCATGGCCTCATCTACCCTGAGACCGGAAGAACTAGATGGTACCCAGCTACCGCTAACCACTGTCCTGATGAGGGCCACAATAGATGGATCCTGACAGAATGGGAGGAAAATGTGGAACAGAACTCACATTCTTTAGAAGTCCAGACTTACGGGACTGGTTGAGACTAGAGAACTCCCCAAGACTATCGCCCTGAGATACTCCATAAACCTTGAACCAGAACTACTCCTAAAAGGGCACCTTATAGCTAAACAATAGATTGGCTCATAAAATAAAGAATGTTACTTAGAAGCGAGGGTGGCAAGACTTCGTCTCACATACTTTGGACGTGTTATCAGGAGGGATCAGTGCCTGGAGAAGGACATTATGCCTGGTAAAGTAGAGGGTCAGCAGAAAAGAGGAAGACCCTCGATGAGACGGATTGATGTAGTGGCTGCAACAATGGGCTCAAACATATCCGCGACTGAGTGGATGGTGTAGGATCAGGCAGTGTTTTGTTCTGTTTACATAGGGTCGCTATGAGTTGGAAGTGACTTGACGGCACCTAACGAGAACAACAACATCTACGCACCTTTACAAAATCATCTGTATGAGACCAAATGGTCAGTAATGAAAGCGATGATGAACGGATAAGGGACAGGGAAACCAGATGACTGGAAGCAAAAGATCCAGAAGGGAATTAATGAGATTGTTAAACCATTGTGAAAAATGTGGCCAGTGTCTCTGAACAGTTTATGTAGTCATTGTTGAATGGGAACATAATTTGCTGTGTAAACTTTCACCGAAAATACAATATTATTTAAAAAAGGAAGATGACACCGAAGCAAAGCGAGAGGAAAGAAGAGGAGAAAGCAGACAGAAGCGGGGTGTCGTCGATGACTTTTAACCACCCTACCCTTGGGTTTTCAACATTTCTTTACTTGGTCTTTCAGTACTCCATCTGCAGTGAGCCTCTAATTGAGCTGTCCAACCCTGGGGCCAGTGGGTCCTTGTTCTTTGTGACCAGTGATGACGAATTTATCATCAAGAC